TTTAAGATAGTGTAAGATATTTTTAAAAGCAAACTTAGGTGGTGAGAATCCTGAAACTGGTCCCATACCTATTTTGAGGACTGTTTGCCACAGTGGCTCCCAGTGCAGAGAATTAGCCAGCTACTCAATGTAAATGGGGAAAGAAAGGAAAACGAGCCAGCCAGATTAAAATAAGTAAACAAATAAAGAAGAAAGAATAAGAAGAATCTCATCCCATAAACTGCTCTTCGCCACCAGTCTGCCACAAGGCTGGTGTCTCCAAGGTGGGATTTAGGGATGGGCTTAGCTTGCCCATGGATGGGTTTCCCAGCAGAACTGCGATTCCAAGCTACCACATCAAGAATAGTCACTTCTCTTGATCTGGCTTTTACTTACCAGTGACAACAGTTGCTGACGCCCGCATTTCTGCTGCTGGCTTTAGTTACAATAAAGAGTATATTTGGATATGTTAAGGGATGGTCAAAACATATGAGGCTGGATAAGTGCAGAACAGGGTGGCAGCAAGAAGTTCCCGTGCAAAAACCCCGCTCAGTCTTCACGAAAAAGTTAATGGCAAAGCAATTCAGAGACTCAACACAGTAAAACTCCTGTAAAAATCACACACTTAGGAAGAAAGACAACTTCTAAACAACTCATGTTTACATGAGTAACACTAAAAGAGATGGGGACCAAGAGTTATTTGGTAGGTTGCATCAGTAGAAAGCTCAAATGCAGAAAGAGAATCCACTAGTAACTCCCTTGGGGGAACGGGGCCAGGACACAAACATTCACTGTATTTAAACGTACCAGAATTATCTGCGAGCCGAGCAGCTCCAACAAAAGATAAAGTGAAAACCCCACACCTCCGCGGACGCCGAGTGTGGCTGCGACGCAGGTCGAACCGCTCAGCCTGGGGAGTCTGTCCTTCACTCGGGCTCAGCTCTGGAGCGACCTGGAGAGGGGAACACCGGCCGGGGGCAAGCGGGATGCAAACCTCGCCGCACCCAGGGAAGGGGCGCAGCAGCTCGAGTCCCTGGTCCCACAGGGCGAACAACAGCAGGCTAAAGATAGTCCCCGGCTTGTAGTGCCATTGCACAGGGTGGATTTCAGCTGCACAGAGCTGCTGGGATGAGACATTCCTCTTCCCCAAGGAGCCAGACAAGATTACTGTATATGGGCAAGCATTCCCCTGCGACAGGCTTCTCCCTCCGTGGCAAACAGGCGATCTCTGGCTGCGCAGCCGGGAGAGGTCTGCGCTGCCTGGCGGGGCGGCGGGGATGCACCCTCGGGATCCCGGAATAATGCTGTTACCTCCGGGCAAGCTAGCCAAGGGGCAGAGCCAAACAAAAAAAACCCTGCGAACAGTTGGATAACAACAACAAAACCTTTCCTTAAATTTTAGTAGCTTTTAGCCATCAAATAGATCTCAAGCCCCAGACTCCTGGTGTTGCTTCGCTGTAAACCTGTCAGTCGGACAGCGGCCGCCCACTGCGACGGCTGACAAGATGCGCAAAACCGAGCTGGGACCACGCGTGGACAGGAGCTGTGGGAGGGCAGAGCACGGGGACTATCACAGCCTATTTCTGACCTCCCGCAGCCGCTGTCCTGCCTACTCCCGTGCCCAGCAGCAGGGCGGGCAGCCGGGGAACGGCACCGTCCACCAGTGCAGGAAACCATTCACAGCCTCTGTCGCAGACCTGCGTGGGAAGGCAAAGCTGGACGTCCAGGTTCAGACTCGCGCTCTCGCGGGAGTGTCCAGGAGCAGATGGTTGTCGCTGACTTGTGTACGAACCCGCGTGGTGCAGCGCGCGGGACATGCTGCCCTCGGCAGAGCTAGTCTGGATGGGCGCTAGTGCGGAGAGTGGATCAGCTCCGTACAGGGCACGTAATACTCCCTTCCTAAGCACACAGTACGGTCAGCTGCCAAGGAAAATGACTTCAGTCTCAATTTAAATGTAGCCTGACATACCATATTCTTTGGACTACCCAATTTCTTTGCAACGCACACCAAGCCTCAACTCTGCAACTGCTCTTACCCAAACTAATCCCAGGGCAGGCACGAAACCCTGCCCGGCTCAAGCAGAGGTCTGCTCCTGCAGACTCTACCCAGCACCATAGCTGCAACAAAACTTTCTTTTATTTTGGTTTTTTCCTCCCCCCCTTTTTTTTTTCTTTTCATTTTTTTTCAGTTTTAAAGTCCAAACTA